TGTGTGTGTGTGTGCATGTGTGTGTGTGTGTGTGTGTGTGTGTGTGTGTGTGTGTGTGTGTGTGTATGTGTGTGTGTGTATGTATGTACATGGTGAAACACCAAACCAATGTGCCATGGTCTGGACTATAAAGATGTATCTTATCTTATCTTATCTTATCTTATCTTATCTTATCTTATCTTATCTTATCTTATCTTATCTTATCTTATCTCATCTCATCTTACCTCATCTTATCTTATCTTACTTATCTTATCTTATCTTATCTGTCTTATCTTGTCTTGTCTTGTCTTATCTTATCTTATCTTATCTTATTGTATCTTGTCTGACTAAAAGAAATTTATTTTACGATCTATGAAACTTAAAACAATGGGTGAAAGGGCATTTAAATACCAAGACCCCAAGATCTGGAATGCTTTACCAAGTACTTTAAGAGGAATCAATTTTTTTTATTCATTCGAATGTCAGCTGAAGTCGTTTCTGTATTTAAATTAGAAAGATGAATATTTGGAGTGATTTTCCTTTAGTCAGAACACAACGTTTTATTTTACTGTTGTACGTTGTACTGTATTGTAAAGCGCTCAGAGCCTGTGTACTTTAATTGGATTTGAGCGCTATGTAAATGTCATTTTTTATTAATTATTATCATTATTATTATTTTATTTTGTCTTATCTATTATGCACACAGGGTGGCGGTGGTGGGGAGAAGCTGGCCGAGATGAAGAAGACTGTGGCTCACATGTACAACCTGAACGTGGATCCCCAGCTCACCGGCCACATCATCAACTTCTTCGACACACCAGAGGAGAAGATTGGCAACGGGAAGGATGAGGGAGAGACGGAACTGGTGTTGGTGGGGCCGAGGTGAGGAGGGTGGGAGGTAGAGGAGAGGAGAGGGAGGAAGGTAGAGGAGAGGAGAGGGAGGAAGGAGGAGAAGATTAGCAACAGGAAGGATGAGGGAGAGACGGAACTGGTGTTGGTGGGGCCGAGGTGAGGAGGGTGGGAGGTAGAGGAGAGGAGAGGGAGGAAGGAGGAGAAGATTAGCAACAGGAAGGATGAGGGAGAGACGGAACTGGTGTTGGTGGGGCCGAGGTGAGGAGGGTGGGAGGTAGAGGAGAGGAGAGGGAGGAAGGTAGAGGAGAGGAGAGGGAGGAAGGAGGAGAAGATTAGCAACAGGAAGGATGAGGGAGAGACTGAACTGGTGTTGGTGGGGCCGAGGTGAGGAGGGAGGGAGGAGGGAGGGATGGAAGGAAAGGGAGAAACAGAGCTTGTGTTAGTGAGGCCGAGGTTAGAGGAGAGAGGGAGGGAAGGAGGAGGGGGTGGGGAAGGAAGGAGGAGAAGATTAGCAACAGGAAGGATGAGGTGAGAGGGGAAGGAGGGAGGGAGGGATGGGAGGAGGGAGGAAGGAGGGAGGGAGAGAGGAGGAGAAGGAGGGGAAGGAAGACAAATGGGAAAGAAGGAGGAGGAGAAGAGAGAATAACAAGAACAAGAGAAACAAGATAAAAAGAAAAGAAAAGAGAGCAAAAAAACGGACGAAGAAGAAGAATGAGTAGAAGAGACAAAAAGGGAGGAAAAAGTATCTCTGAATTTTAAGTCCTGTGTTTGTCTGTTCCCCCCCGCTTCCACCTACCCCCTACCCCTCTACCTTCCCCAGCATCGCACCGCGGCACGCCATAGTGAAGATGGACAAAGACAAGTTCACGCTGGAGCCAGGGGAGGCAAACGTGAGGCTCATGGTCAACGGGAAGCCAGTGCTGGAAGCTGTGGAACTCAATCATAACGACAGGTTTGATTATTTTTGTTTGAGTGACAGTTGTATGATGGCATTTACAACGCAAATAGGTTTTATGATAAGTGATGGTCAATAGGAAACCAGAACTGGAAGTCGTGGAACTTAACCATAAAGACAGGTTTGATCTATGGCTATTTGTTTTTGTTTGAGTGACAGTTTCATAATGGCATTTACAACACAAATAGATCTTAGTTATATGATTGTTTTTGTGTGAGTAGAGTTTTATGGTACTTAACAACACAAATAGGTTCTATAATTGGGTTTTTTAAAGTAGAGTTTTATGGCACCTAAAACACTAATAGGTTATATTATATAAGTGATGGTTAACGGGGAACCAGTGTTGGAGGCTGTGGAACTGAATCACATAGACAGGTTGGATTGTTTTTGTGAGAGTAGAGTTTTACGGCACTTACAACTCAAATAGGTTATATAAGTGACGGTCAACGGGAAGCATGTGTTAGAGGCTGTGGAACTTAACCATAACGACAGGTTCGATCTGTGGCTATTTGTTTTATGTTTGAGTGACAGTTTCATAATGGCATTTACAACACAAATAGATCTAGGTTATATGATTGTTTTTGTGTGAGTAGAGTTTTATGGTACTTAACAACACAAATAGGTTCTATAAGTGATGGTCAATGGGAAGCCAGAGTTGGAGGCTGTGGAACTCAATCATAACGACAGGTTAGATCTACGGCAATTAAAAATTTATTGGGTTTTTTTTAGTTTTATGGCATTTGCAACACAAATAGATCTAGGTTATATGATTGTTTTTTTTAGTAAGAGTTTCTGGCACTTACAAATAGGTTATAATGTGTCACGACGTGGTGGAATCAGGCGCTCATCAATAATTATTTTTGGACATTTAGAGTTATTGGTATCATCTGAAAGCTGATTTATTCGCCTTGCTTTCAATGAAATAAATATCCATCCATCTCGAATACAGCTGGAGGTATTTGCAATGAAAAGAAGTGAGGTCACCTGGTTTCAATGGTGAAATGTGTTGGGACGCGTTAAAATCAGGCACTCGTCAATTTTGTGACGTATGGAGTTATTGGTATCATTTTAAAGCTTTATTTGTCTTGCTTTCAATGAAAAAAATACCCATTTATCTTGAATACAAGTCGAGATTTTTGCGATACATATTAGGAAGTGGGGGGG